TTTTTTTTTTTTTTTTTTTTTTTTTTTTTTTTTTTTTTTTTTTTCCCCCCCCCCCCCCCCCCCCCTTTTTCTTTCTTTTAGAAAACATTGCAAGTCTCTATTGACCATAAAAAAGGACAAACTCTTCAATATGTACCAGTCCAAATATGTATTTCAGTATAAAATATGAATAGCATTTGTAAGCCATTTCATTGGATCGTTTGAATGTGTCAAGCTTAGTGGTGGTCTGAAAAAACTTGTGGCATTTAAGTCTGTATAGATTTTCAAGGTCCCAGGCTTCAGTTTTTAATGTGGTACGGGACTCCTGAGAGTGATTGATTGTTCACAGCAGCTAAAGTTCAAGCTCTTTGGGTTGGGGTAGAGAAATAGATCTGTAGGCATTTACCTTAACGCCCCTGTCAGTTTCAGCACCCTTCCTGGACTGCTGCCGTTAGCACTACATCACCCAGCGAGTGTCAGAGGAAGTAGGGCCCCTCACTGAGAGAAAATCACCTTGAGGGAGAGCTCTGGAGTTCACTGGAGATAAATCCTGTTGTGCGGGAGCCTGACTCACAGCGAGAGTCCACCCATAATCGCCTCCTTCCCACTCGGAGGAGATTAGTGTGAATCCGGGTGGCAGCGAGTGTTCTACAGTAGCTACACACATTCAACACCACTTGCAGTGTAAACAATGATTTTGACCTATTTTTGAAGTTACGTTTGAAGTTTTGTGTTCCTAGCATAAGCATAATATTTCTCCAAAGAGTAATTCTTATCCGATAATCAACTCTCCCACCTGCTGTTTTGAATCGGAGAGGTCTAGTTTCCTCCTCCTGGATCAATGCTTGTAACTTTTCACTCATTTCAATGTAACATTTGAAGTCAGCTGCCTTTTTAAATATATGGAGTTTCACTTTCTTTTTCCTTGATTTATTTCAGCGATGTTTCTGTTTTTTTTTTTTATACCTAATGGGCAAATACTGATATTTACATTTTTATTGGGTTATCAAAAGGTCCTTTAGAAATAATATCAGGAAAGTCAAACTCTGTGTGGTTAGATAAGTGTCAAAAAAAATTGGACGCAATATAAAAAAGTCAATTGTCTTTTATTAGCAGTTTTCTTTGCTTGCTTTTTGCAGATCAAAATTTACGATTTCAGTAACCGCTTTTCTTTTGCACTGCTAAATGCTTTATTTGCACTTTTTGTTGGCGCTAAATCATGTCAGTTTAATTTCTGAGGTTTTATGTCATTTATATGTCTCAGTTTGGCGTGCTGTTGCAAAATTTGACTATTAGTTAGGCCAGCTTCCTCCTCGGTCATATATTCCGCAATATTTTTAGCACAAATCGAATGCATATGAAGTCCATTATTCATTTTAAGTTCATGTTGTTTTTTTCAGTGAGGAAAACTGTCTTGGGTTGTATTTAGTGTAATTTTTGTCTTGTCAAATGTCGTACTGATCACAACTAGTCAAGTCAAGGGTTAGTCATAAAGGGTTAGTTCACCCCCAAAATGAATGATTTGTCATTATTTACTCACAATCTTGTTTTTCATATCAAATGTTTTTTTTCTTATGTGAAACCCAAAATATGTTACTTCTGCTCTTGTTGCTCCCAGTTATTGTTATGTGAAAGAATAAAACTACAGATTTAGTGGCTCAGATTCCCTATCTGCAAAAATAAATAAAGAATCCTTTATAGCCAAGATTATGAAATATTTCAAGAACTGTTAGTCGCTTCCCATCGCTAGTCCCACATATAAATAGTTAAACATCTTTCAGCTCAAGTGGATACACATTCCCTGTAATAGATAAAAAGCCATTATATTTCACATTCAGTTAAACTCATATTGTAAAATGCTTTGCATTACCCTTAAACACTGTGATACATTTTTAAAGAAGTACTTAATTTAAAACTGTCAGACTCAAGCCATTCTGAACGCATGCCTCGGGTGGGTCGATGAATTTCTCAGTGCAATGCTTATTATTAATGTGGGCTCCGTAGCAAATGCACGCTAAAAATCTCTCTCGCTCACGATTAGATGGCTAAACCGTCTGCAATCTTTCTCTTTCTCACTCTTTACAGTATTGTCACGCACTTAAAACCGTCACAAATGACGAAGAAAAGCAAGGTGACCTGTTAGCCACACACCAAGATGAATAAAAACATCAAATATGGGCTATGGCTATTGTAATTGAAACAGACTGCCACCCAAGCTTTTAGAAATTACTGCTATTTTTCAACCTATTCTGGGATCACTATATAAAGACGGGGTCATCTTCATTTGGCGAGCAATCCAGGAGAATGTGGTTGTCAAAACGTCCCTCATTATGAGGCTGTACAGGTGATAAATATCATACAATGGGCCTTAAATTTGTACTCCACTGTTGTGTATTGACAGCGATTTGGAGTGGGAGCTCGCGGGAAGAATTGCATCCACGGAAACAGGCCTTAAGTGCCACTTAAAAAGCGCTGAATCATGGTCTCGTAATGAGGCTCATCTGTTCGACTTTTAAAAAATGATTTCATACTGGCGAAATGGCATTGTGCTTTTATGGAGGGTTTTGTCGAGTGTAAATGCATGTTCATTGGGAGGGCAAACTCTGTGCGTGATATTAAGACTGAATCAAAGTTTAAATGTGTGTTTGTGTCTTCTCAGAGTTGGTGGGTAGCTGCAAGGAGCGGAGATGTCAGTTTGACTGTGTGATCATGAGAAACGGGACGTCCTGTTTCTGTGGGGAAGGTTTCGAACTGGATGAGGACAGGAGGCGGTGTCGAGGTGAGGGTTGTTAACATTTGAACTCCGTTTGAAGAATTGGACTCTTTAGAAATGTCACTGAATTGAATTGTAGCACCTTAGAAACCGTTTTGACTTATTACAGGTAATAAAGGGGAAAAAAGTCCAATAAAATGCTTTACAGAATGAAATCTTCCTATGAGCTCCTATGGAAAAAAGCAAATATTGGTGTAAGATCATATCCCTATACTCAGTGCCTGATGAAAGGTGCGAGCTATGCTAAGCTAGTAGGCTAAACTGTTAGCTACCTGACAATGTTTTCATTTGACCATATTTAGCTTTGGTAATGTGATGTGTACATTGAAAAGTGTAATTAACATATTTTTATGATTAAGAAAATGTTTTAAATTGATTTTCTATCATTCCTAATCAGATACTGAATAGATTACCCATAGAAATTAGTCTCAGAAGCATGTTTGTGATATCTTGTTAATCAATAGTTTTTCTTAACCAGTTTGAGCTATGCTAAGCTAGTAGGCTACAGTAAGTTGTTAGCTACTTGAAAATGTTTAAGTATGACCACAATTCGACAGATAGTAAATCACATTTTTTTCTTATTATGAAAAATGTGTAATCTGGTTTTGTATCAGTTCCAATCAGGCATCGAAATGAGTACCTATAAAATGTTGTCAGCTAATATCCGATGAAAAATGTTATCTGTTTGCGTCATAAACTTGTAATCTGTTAGCTACCTCAAAATATTTAAATATCACCATTTTTAGCTTTGGTAATTTGAAAGAGATTCACATTATTTCTATTTTTTATTTCACAGTTCTAATCAGGCACAGAAAAGAGTACTCATAAAAAGTTGCCTCAGCTGATATTATTTTGAGTTCTCTAGAAAAGCTAGCTGTCCAGTGCATGAACTCGAACCTCAGAGGAATCGTTGTTGATTTCATGATAAATTATGGTTATGTTAACCAAAACAGCAATTTACTCACCCTTCCCTCCCCAAACATGCATTTGCATATTCATGTTTCTTGATAGGTTGCTGCGAAATGGTGACATTAAGAGTTGGGTTTGCATATTTAGGCCATGTTTGAGCACATTTAGCATTTAATAAATAGCCCCACTGTTGCCTACAGATCATGATGAATGCAGGGATTATGGGACATGCAGTCAAATCTGCATGAACACGCAGGGATCGTACAGATGCGCTTGCACAGATGGCTTCAGCCTGCAAGCCAACAGACGATCCTGCAAAGCCAAAACAGGTGAGTCCATTTATCATCCGTGTTAGTTCCAGTTCCAGTCCAAAAAAAAAAGCGTATTAAGCAACATTATTAAAAGTATTTTACTTTGATCTTCAACGGTGCTTTAAAAGCACAAGTCTAAAAATAATTAAACCCATGCATAAATCAAATATTATCTCAAGTTAATGTACTAAGTGCTGGAGAGATGGACGACTGGTCTAAATCTGTAAGAGAGTAATAAACTCTAACGATAAACTGATTTTTTTGCACATTGTTAGTGCTAGGGGGTGCTGATTGGGTTTTAGGGTTTGTTAGGTTGTTGCTAAGGTTTTTTTGGGGGGTAGTTGCTAAGACAATCATTAAGGGGTTTTGAGTGTTTTAGCGCATTGCTATGTGGTTGCAACAGTGTTCAACAGCTAGCTTGTTTACTGTATAGTTTAGAATGTTTTTTAACACATTGCTCTGTTGTTTATAGGGTGTACTGTGAAGTTGCTAGGGCATTCTGAGGGGGTTTTGGCACATTGCTACAGTATAGTTGCAGGGGATTCTGGGTAATTGTTAGCCTGTTGCCAAGGGGTTCTGAAGGATTTTTAGCCAATTGTTATGTGATTCTGGGTAGTTGCTAAGTGGTTGCTAAAGCTTCTGCTGAGTTTTTAGTACATTTCTAGATGACTTCTAGGTCATTTTTGGTAGTTTTAGTGCATTGCTACAATATGTTGTGGTTGGGGTTCTGGGTAATTGCTATCCTGTTGCCAAGGGGTTCTGAAAGATTTTTAGCTCATTGTTATGTGATTTGCTAGTATTCTGGATAGTTGCTCGTCAGTTCCTAAAGGTTCTGCTGGGTTTTTAGCACATTTCTATATGACGTATAGGTAATTTTGGGTAGCTTTAGCGCATTGCTACAGTATTTGGTCGTAGAGGTTCTGTGTAGGTGCTAGCCTGTTGCTAAGTGATGGTTTTTAGAACATCACTAAGTGGTTTCGAGAGTGTTTTGAGTAGTTGTTAGCTGTTTGCTAAAAAGTTCTGAGGGTTTCTTCGCACATAGCTTATGTTTTTTGCTGGGGTTCTTGGTAATTGCTAGCCTAATGCTAAGGGATTCTGAGTGGTTTTTAATGCATTGCTATGGGGTGTTTTGGGAAGTTGCTGGTTGTTAAGGAGTTCTGAGGGAAATTTTAGCACACTGCTACAGAATGTGGTTGCTGGGGATTCTGGGAAGTTGCTAGACTGTTGTTAAGGGTTCTGAGGGTTTTAGCATATCCTATGTGACTTCAAGGACATTTTGAGTAGTTGTTAGCCAGTTGCTAAGAATTTCTTAGGGGTAGCACATTTTTACAATATGTGGTTGTTGGAGGTTCTGGGTAGTTGCTAGGCTGTTGCTAAATAGTTTTTGGAGGTGGGAGGTGGGGGTGGGGGGTTAATGCATTTCTACAGTATGTGGTTGTTGAAGGTTATGGGTAATTGCTAACCTGTTGCTATAAGGGGATCTGGGGGTAACACTTTAGTATGTGTTTGCTGGGGATTCTGCCTTGCCTTGCCTAGTTGCTAGCCTGTTGCTGAGGTGTTATAAGGGATTTTAGCGCATTGCTATGTGATTGTTGGGATTCTTGGTTGTTGCTAGCCTGTTGCTAAAGGGTTCTGTTTTTTTTTTGTTTTTTTTTTACATATTTATGTGTGGTTGTAAGTTGTTATAGGTTTGTTGAACATAATATTAACATTTACTATAGATAATTGTCTCTTAGCAAGAACCACTAGAAAATAAGTGTTCAATACTGAAAACAAGGAAAGGTCAACAAACTCCACACTTGACATTTCAATCAGCATTTAAATTATAGTCGTCTTTAACATCCTAAGAACAAGTCTGGACTAGATGGGTAAACACAATGCCCTCTGGAATGTTTGATTGAACAAGAAAGCCTCAGTAGAGTAGCGCGGTCACAGTGGCGATCATCCGAGTGCATTAGTATAGATGACACTGTCATTCTCCTGATGCGAGTGTCAGTTACACTTACTGTCATCAATATGCAAATGGCCGCCGGCGAGCTGGGCTATGACAGAGCCGTGGGAGAGATAAACAGTGGAGGCCTTAATGGAAAGTCAATCAGAGCCCATCCAGCCCGACCTGCGACTGTCTATCAAATTTAGAGATGATTACACGCTCAGAGTTAATTGCACTTCATGGTGTCTGTTTATTAGTGTGAGAAAAAAAAACACAAGCCGATCACAAAGTTTACGTGTGCATAATACGTGTTGCAGCAATTAGACTATTTTCCTTTAGTGTGAGCTTCTTAATGAACCTGTTTTAATTTCTATATAAGTAAGCAAAAATATAAGTAAATATTTATATACTCTATGTTCATGTAACACATACACATTCATATTTTATATTGGTGTTTTTTCAACTATAAGCATTTTTATGTTCCAGGTGCAGGTTTTTGTGATAACTAGCTTTTTACTAATAATTTCTTTATGCTATAGCATGTAGGCTATGTTTGCCCCATTAGTTCTTTCTTTCTTTCTTTCTTTCTTTCAATAGATAGATAGATAGAAAGATAGATGTGTGTGTGTGTATTATTTATTGTGTTAAATTATAAATTTTATTCATATTTCTAAAATACAATTAGTGTATTTGTATATATGTGAATGTGTGTGTGTATATTATTAATTCATATGTCAATATTTATTTTTTATGTGAATTAATTTATTATTATTTTTATTTTTTTTACGAAAATGTGGTGGAACTGACATTTGTTGGTTCAGACAAAAATAACAATTAATTTTGTAATTAATTTTATTTCAAGATTTATTATTGAAATGTCCACAGTACCAAAATTTCCCAATATGAGCATTTTCTCTTAACTGTCACCGTCCCACCTGTGGGATGTTTGGCGCTCTTTTTTTTGTTGTCTTTTTTCTCTATCAAATCTTTTAGTAATCATCATAAATCATATATCATTTGAAAGCTTAGAAGCCCAAGATTCATCCTGTGAAAACCATTTCGAAATCAGACATTGCATTACCATGTAAATGGTACTTTAAAATCTTTTGGCGGTCTCCTCCCCCTTAGTGGGCAGTGTCAAGTGTCATATTACAAAATGAATTACGGTCTTTTAGAATCAAAACTTTTTATAATCTTGACAAAAAACATATAATTGGAAAGGTCTGAGTCTTAGGATTCCATATTTGGTGGTTATAAGTAATATTGACAGAGAAATCTAGGCATTTGTGACAGAAAAATGCATAAAAAAAAATTCAGTGGAGTTTGGATGGCACCCGGTGGCTGTTTGTGGTATAACGCCCTAAATAAAATCTCACAGGAACCTCAATTGTTTTCATATCAACTTCAAATTTGGAACATAACTTATTTAGACATAAGGCTATAATTGCATACCAATTTTAGAGTAAAATTTGATATGTAAAATATTTATTATATAGCTCTAAGGACCTTTATGCATTTTGTGCTCCCTCTTTCAGATCCTGGTGATAAACCTCCGGTTCTGTTGACAACAAATATGAATTCTATATCAGTTGTTTACCTCAATGGATCATCTATGCCAAATCTCAAGTCCATGGAGACAAATGGGACTCAAATATTGGACTTTATTTATAGAGAAGAGTCACTCTGTTGGCTCTCAGTGGCCCAGGATACAGGTCAGCTGTGGTGTGCCCGCATGACCAAACTCAAAGGCTTTTCAGAAAAACACCAGATACGGATAGGTCAGAACCTACAAAGTAAGTACGCACGTCAAGTCTCGAAGCGCAAATTAAGGAACGTTTCGTAACTTTGATGATTAATTCAGAGCAAGTGCAAACTAATGTCCTTTGAAGTTTTTATGAACTTGAGTGTTGTGTTTAATGTCCACATAAATTTTCTCATTAGTCTCTTTTTTTCACTTCTTTTACCTCTTGAAGTGTTTAATGATCTGCTAATGAAGTGTTTAATGTCACAAGGTTAAATGAGTCAAGTGTGCATGTCAAGTCGGTGAATGTCAGTTGTTGCTTCTTTGAAGCATGCATGAATTATTAATTGTTTCTAACTACCAGATCCCAATTTACAAACTCTTATGTCCCATGTTTAAAATTGAATGGTTTCTTCCATGTAGATGTGGAGCATATGGCCATCGACTGGTTGACAGGAAACTTCTACTTCGTAGACAGAGTGAACGACCGGATATTCGTGTGCAGCGAACAGGGAGATGCATGTGTCACCATCATCGACCTGGACATCCAGAACCCTAAAGGCCTAGCGCTGGATCCCATCATGGGGTACACTTGCTAACACAATCATTAGGTCCTTTCATTTGTATGAGATGGTAGCAATGAGTTTTTGTTGTTAAAACTGGGGTAGATATATCTGGGGGAAAAAATCTATTTAAATAATGTGACTACTACTACGAATAATAAGTCATAGCTGTGATCGCACATCAGTTCATATATGAATGATATGTGTAGTTGGCGCCGATAGCCTAGTGCAGGGGTTTTCAACCTTTTAGGACATGCGCCCCCCCAAGTTTGTCTACACATACGAGGAATTTGTTTTCATGACAGAAGCTTCCGCAGTGCAACAGAATGACAGCAACAGAACAAAAACACAGATAATAAAAGAGGAATAAAAAGATAAAAAATTGAACAAGTAAATAAGGAATAACAATATATAAATTGACAATTGTATGTGCTGGTATATTACAATACAATATCATTTCCAATAAGCGTGACCAGGGTTGCCAGGTTTTCACAACAAAACCCGCCTAATTGCTACTCAAAACTAGCCCAAAACTACAAAACACGGCAAGTGTTAATGTAGCCCAATTCCGCGGAAAAAACGCGGACTTGGCAACACTGAGCGTGACTGATACTCGAGCCAACTGTCGACTAGCAGTGGGAGTCAGATTGCCCTCTAGTGGATGGCTAAATATTTGTTAACTCATATTCATAAATTCTCAAGGGAATTAACCCTTTAGGCGCCAGGGTTTTTTTGGAAAAATGCTGGATTTTGACATCAAGATTTCAAAAGCTTGTAGCTTGAAAGGGCTTAAAGATAGAGATCTAATGTAAATTAGAAAAATGTTGGGCATGACCGAAAGTTTATGTGGGGTGTAAATATACTCATCTAATTTGCATATTATGACGTCATCAGGGGGCGGCCCTCCTGAATGTCATAATATTCAGGAAATAATAGATATTGAATTGATGTTTGAACTTATTTGCGTGTTTTTTTTTTTTCATTCCAAATGATCAGAAAAGAGAAAACCAACAATAAAACAGGAGAAAGTAATA